AAGTGCATGTCTCTGTTCTCCAGGCGGACTCCTGACTTCTAAAATTTAAACTGTATGTCTCTGTTCTCCAGGTGGACTCCTGACTTCAACAAATAAACAACCAACGAAAATTTTCTACCCCAATTCGGAAGCTGGGTGTATGGGTGAGCATTAAACTGAATCATATTACCACATATTACTAAGAATTGAAGGCTAAATCCTATTATCCAGGGAGGTCCTGACAACTCCTAACAATTACGAACCTAAGGTATTACTCTTGCAACATCATGTTATCTACAAGGGTTTAAGCTACATCCTGTTATCCAGGAAGGTCCTAACAACTTACATTTTATCCTAAACATGCAAACTTTGAAACCAAATTATATCCCCCTATGCTATCCATGATTATTTTGTGTTTTTAATCCCACCATACTTTGCGGTCAAATTTGATTACTGCTTGCTTTCCTTTTATGGAGAATTCCTCCTGAACAACCAACTTTTTGCCCCTGTTTCAATCAAAGAAAATTTTGTTAGTTTAAAATGGCGGTTAGTTGATGGCATTCTTACTGAAAACTCCTTCCCCTGCATTACTTTGTGTTGACTGACTTCCACGCACTGACCCTGAACCGCTTGACTTTCTGACCAACTTTTAAATTCCCCAACCTCTGGCGACCTAAATGTTTTACACCCATGCTGTTATTTCACTTTTCTGACCCTTTTGTTTGAACCTTTGCATTTCCCACGACATTTCCCAATCATTCCACCGATGAAACTTCCGTTAATTCCCTGTATTCCACTTGACATCATGTTGTTTTTGACATGCTCTGACCACGTTGTGCTTCACAATTTCGGAAGCTGGTAGTGAGCCTTGAAGTCCTTTCCCACTTGCTTTTGAACATAACTGATATTAGAACATTTAGACAAATAAAACCCCCAAAAGAGAATGAAATGCAATGGTTTTACGGGTTAAGGATAAGAAGAATCCAAAACCTGATGACTAGTAAAAATGAAGTAAAGAAAAGAAACTTATCTGACTGGAACAGCTGGCACCAATTGTCATGACATGCATTTCGGACTAATCGGCCCAACCGATCCAACTAAACAACTCTCAGTTGCCATACCTTATTGCCCAGAACTTCCATCAATTGTTTGAATTACCCAGACCTTAACCTTGTTTTCCTACGGTACCACGAAACGGTTTCCATCAACAGACCTTTCTCAGTTTGCCATTTCCCAACTCACTTTCGCCTTGAGGTGCCCGTGAAGGTTTTCACCACTAAGACTCTCTCATCTCTCAGCTCCCGTCGCCTTACGGTACCCGTGAGGGTTTTCACCCATAAGACTCTCTCATTTTTATCTTTTGTTCTTCTTGCTTGAACCAGAGTGTTGTCATTGCCACGAATTACCGCTACCTGCTCGACTTGGCATTTCTCAAAAATTGATCAGAAGGTCTTTCTTTGGACCGTAATGTAGGCTTTTGGATTGGGTTATAAAGAAAGGTATAAAGGCTCAAAACAATTCAAATGGGTTCAAATTACAACTTTCGGAATCCAACTTTTCACAACAATCACAACTTCTGCCCTAGTTTCTTGCTTGGGGATTTTTTGGATTTTTATTTTGGTATGACTGAACCTCGGAGTAAGGCTNAAGGTATAAAGGCTCAAAACAATTCAAATGGGTTCAAATTACAACTTTCGGAATCCAACTTTTCACAACAATCACAACTTCTGCCCTAGTTTCTTGCTTGGGAATTTTTTTGGATTTTTATTTTGGTATGACTGAACCTCGGAGTAAGGCTACCTACGTACCCTTTTGGGATCAAGTCAAACGTAGTTCACTGTATCATAATTACCTTTGTTGTTGTGTGTTTTTTTTCATCTTCTTTTCCTTTCTTTTCTCCTCTTTTTCTCCTTTTCTTTTCTTCTTTTTATTTTCTTCTCTTTCTTTTTTCCTTCACTTTTCATTTTTCTTTTATCTTCTTTTTTCCTTCTTCTTTTTTTTTTCTTTCTTTTCTTTCCTTTTCTTTTCTTTTTCCTTTGCTTTTCTTTTCTTTCTTTTATGTTCGGCACCTGTGTTCCTTGATAGTGCCATTGATTCCGAAAGAGAGGTATGAAAAATAAGTAAGGCTCAAAGGGGATGACAAGGGATAAAAGTGTTTGGATAGTATGACAAAAGTCCTTCATCATTTCAATCTTTAAGATATGCCGAATACAAACAGATACATTCAGAAATAAAGAAATCATACATAATATCTCTTGACCGTATCGGAATTGATGGCCATTTCTATACATTTTCCTTCTACATCTGTCAAATACAATGCACCGTTAGATAACACTCTGGTTACTACAAATGGTCCCTGCCAGTTTGGGGCAAATTTTCCTTTGCTTCAGCCCAATGAGGCAAAATCTGCCTCAGTACTAACTGTCCGACTTCAAATTTCCTTGGACGCACTTTCTTGTTGTATGCTTTTGCCATTCTTCATTGGTACAGTTGACCATGACACATTGATGCCAATCTCTTCTTGTCAATCAAACTCAACTTCTCAAGGCATCTTTTCACCCATTCATCATCATCGATCTCAGCCTCCGCAACGATTCGCAGAGACGGGATTTCCACCTCTGCAGTTATTACTGCCTCGGTGCCATACACCAATGAATAAGGAGTCGCCCCCACCGAGGTACAAACGGTGGTGCGGTACCCTAACAATGTAAAAGGTAACTTCTCATGCCACTGTCTATACCCTTCAACCATCTTCCGGAGTATTTTCTTTATATTCTTATTGGTTGCTTCAACCGCACCATTTGCCTTGGGACGGTATGGAGTAGAATGCCTATGGGTAATCTTAAATTGCTCACATGTCTCCTTCATCAAATGACTATTAAGATTAGCCCCATTATACGTGATGTTTACCATCGGAATCCCAAACCGACAGATGATATTTGAGTGCACAAAGTCGACCACAGCTTTCTTAGTCACAGACTTGAACGTCTTAGCTTCCACCCATTTGGTAAAATAGTCTATAGCTACCAGAATAAACATGTGCCCATTTGACGCTGCTGGATCAATTGGCCCAATAACATCCATGCCCCATGCAACAAAAGGCCATGGTGCGGACATCGTATGTAGTTCTGATGGTGGAGAATGAATCAAATCTCCATGCACTTGGCACTGATGACATTTACGCACAAAACTGATACAATCCCACTCCATAGTGAGCCAATAATAACCTACTCGGAGAATTTTTTTGCTAGAACGTACCCACTCACATGCGGTCCACAAACTCCAGAATGTACCTAAGTCATGATAGATGTGGCCTGTCTTGCGTCCATGCATCTCAACAACTCGAGGTCTGGAGTTCTTTTGTACAACACTCCTCCACTAAATAAAAACCCGCTTGCCAATCGCCGAATCGTTCTTTTCTGATCACCGGTGGCCTGTACCGGATATACTCCCGTCCTGATGTACTCTTTGATATCATGGAACCACGGCTCGCCATCGATTTCCTTTTCTATCGTATTACAGTAAGCATGCTGATCACTGACCTGAATCTACAACGGATCAACATAAGCCTTGTCTGGATTATGCAACATCGACGCCAAAGTAGCCAAAGCATCGGCAACCTCATTATGAATCCTTGGAATGTGCCTGAACTCTATAGCCTGAAACCGCTGACAAAGCTCATGCATACATTGCCATTATGGTATAAGCTTTAAATCCCGTGTTTCCCATTCTTCTTGAATTTGGTGTACCAGTAGGTCCGAGTCACCCATGACCAAGACTTCCCGTACACCCATTTCTACAACTAATCTCAATCCCAATATACACGCCTCATATTCTACCATGTTGTTCGTACAGTAGAAACGAAGCCGAGCTGTAACAGGGTAATGCTGACCTATTTTAGAAATAAGTACCACTCATATTCCCACGCCTTTCATATTTGCAGCCCCATCAAAGAAAAGTTTCCATCCTGACTTCTCAGCTTGTTCCAATTCACCAATGTGCATCACCTCTTCATCAGGGAAATAAGTTTTCAAAGGTTCGTAATCTTCATCGGTGGGGTTCTCAGCCAAATGATCAGCTAATGCCTGTGCTTTCATTGTAGTCCGTGTCACATAGATAATGTCGAACTCTGTAAGTAGGATCTGCCACCTTGCAAGCCTTCCCGTGGGCATAGGCTTCTGAAAAATATACTTCAATGGGTCCAAGCGAGATATGAGGTATGTGCTGTAAGATGACAAATAATGTTTCAACTTCTGTGCCACCCAAGTTAGGGCGCAACATGTCCTCTCCAGATGAGTATACTTAACCTC